GTCGCTTCTTTAGCGACTATCGCGCAAGATGACCAAAGTCAAGAGACAGTGGACTTTCTTTCTGGCGCCATTGCTCCTCAAAACGATGACCTGTAATGTTTGAAAAAAAAAATACTATCCTTCAATGACTCATCAATACAAGCTAAATTTCATGTGAAGATGTGAAGCTGATCGACAAAGACCGTTCCTTGCCTAAAATGTAGAAGACTATCCCCACCCCACCCTACAAAGAAACAGGTCTACGTCCATATGACAATGTTCACGTCAAATATGTTAGGATATGTCGAATGGTTCTCCAGCTATACTCGTTACAAACAACATACATTGAAAGATTTGGAGTTCACACATAAGGATAATAACCCTTTGTGTAGACGAGAAAAACCCATCAAAGGTAGATGCAGATCTAAAGACAGCGTTCTTATCAAATGTTTAATTTTTTTTTATTTTTTTTTTTTGGCTGTACTAATTATAGGCAACATAAAAAACATTGCTTCACAATGGCCATAACGCTATCCAAAACAAGAGCACATAACTATAAACCAATAAAAGGTAAATGTAAGTTTATGAGACAATTTTCATACTTATAAACCAGATTGCAAAAGAGTATGCTGAACGAACTTTGATATATGCCGGTTACAATCATCATCAAATGCGAAGAAATGAAGATAACAATCAAGGGCAATAACTCTTCCAGGAAGCTGACCAGACCAAACCATTCAATAACACATTTGAATTTAATTTAACGCACAGAAGGTACGTCTAGGTCTATGCAACGATGTTATATATAAATTGAGAACTACATTAGTGGGTGTGACTACTCTTACATATAGTTTATGCGAAGTCTACAGACTTAATTCAAAATGGAGGGTAATGCATAATCTTGTTTTTTTTTTTCATAATGGTTTCAGTCGTCACAGGAGAGGATGTGTGTTAAGAGATGGACATTAGAAATGGTGACTGGGTACGAGGTCCTTAGTGCTGGGGTGCTATAAAGCAGCATAGAAGAGTATATGTTATTCCTTGAACTGTTGAGGAAGTAAAATAATTAGCAGTCTCAACGACAACACATGTATATATTCACCTACCACCGTATCAAGATGATTATATTCATGTTTGACCAAAATTTGTAGCCATGATAGTCTTCATCCACTTGTAAACTTTGCTTACTACGTGGGGCTTCTTTCTAACTCAACGATATTGCTTCAACTCTCTGACGAAATCATTTTCAATCTCTCTTAACATGTTAATTCCAAGAATACACCATTTCCAGTTTATAGTAGCAGTTTAGAACATCCTGGATAGATACTTGGTATATTTTCGTATATTGATCTAAACATAAGAGCTTTACTATTTATGTATCAAAAAGAGATTTTGAGACTTTGCCGTGATAACAAATTCCATTCACTCTTTTGATGCGGAGCTCTGCAAGGCCTCTGTCGATTCAGAGTGGAATGTTGGATTATGATTTTAATATTTTCTCCTTGACATGCTTTTCATTACAAAAATATAGCTGTCCCGTAGCCCACTAGTACTCATTCTACTTTAGAGATTATATTATGTCCTAATCTAGCTGTAAAAATTTAATTTCATTGTAACCTTCGAGTAATGCGGTAGTCAGCTGTTCATTGTCTAAAAGAAACATGTACAATTAGTTTCACGATTTAGTCAATATTCATTATTGAAGGTGGGCGAATTGTAACAACCAGTAGCCTTTTAAAGAAAAGGAAAGAGCGGAGATTTATATTAAGTGATAACTTGTGAGGAGTTCTGTTTGTTTTTGTTTTAACACTAAAATTAATCTTATCCTAACAAGAAACACCATTTAGTAATGTTAGTTTCAATGTACACGTGACCCGCTGTCTTGACAAGCTTATGGTTGTACTTCTACATACAGTGTTAACACATTTATCAGGTAAAAGGCTATGTGCTATCCGTATACGATTTATCTACATCCAGTTGTGAATTAAATGAAAATGGAATAATTAAGTTTGCAATTTCATCAGTATCCATACTTGACGTTGTATTTATTAATATGTTAAGCAGCTGCTTTATAAGGATAGCGATGTGGTCTGTGAAAGAGACTTCAGTGTTACATGGTAAACAGAGATAATATTTTCTGTTTGACTCGACATGTGCATGTATGCAAAAACTATGATATTTATTACCTACAGAGTGTAATTACACCAAGGTTTGGTTACTATATCGACAAAATTTTGTCACGTTGTTCTTAAGTGGTGTTGATTTTCTTGGTCTACAACACAGTTTTATTTTTATTTTTTTTCCTCAAAAAATAGGCTTTGTTATTTCATTAGATTGTAAAATGGAAGCGCGTTTATTTCTTGACCGAGTGAACAACATATCTAAATCTACTATACCACAACATACCATCCTCCCCAAGCTAAAAACAGATTGTGATGTTTGAACTTGTATAATTTATTACAGGAACAATGACTGCAACATATGATGATGATGTGCATTGCACAGTCCTTTTGTAGACATTCAGACATTTTTGAAATTCATGCAATCGTTGACAGATGTTTGCCAAATTAAATTCTACTTGAATATCTTAGTTTTTGTAATGTTTTTACTTGTTCTATTCTGATCTAATTGCAAGGAGAGGTTAGACCTATATAATTGCGACGCTAGTTCGTCCCGTATCGGCATAATACAGACGAGTCTTATAATAAAGGTGTCACTTTAAAGAAGCATTCTTCGTATATATAGTGATATTTGAAATAAAAAGTTTTATTCTTTCCTGCTACCTGTTCTATGAAACACAATTGTTTATTATGTTGATTTCATCGGAATTTATTCTATATGCCCACTAAGTCAGACCCATGTCACATAACTCAGTGCTTTTGGATAGTATATGCTCTATTCCAAGTTCGACATCGTATAGGATAAAAGAAAAGTAGAATTCAATTCTATGTTGTACGCATTAAATGACGAGAAATGTTGGGTTATTATAAATAATCCATAACGATTATTGTTGTTGGAGACAGATTCGTGTACGAACTTGTTTGTTTGAATAATAATCTTCTACAATCGTTCTAATACAAGAATGTCGTGTTTTGACACAAGTTGGCGCTCACGCACTTATAATATAGGTCAATGTATTCTCGCCCAAACGTGACTATCGTATTACATAGCTAAAATATTGTTACATAGCTCAAATTTTGTAATTTTAGTTGTTACAGGAAGGGGTCAGAATCTGTCGGGCTGTGTAACCTAAATACTGCGGTTATTGGTGACGGTGGTCCGAGGGATGATACTGGTTAAGTCATTGTGAGAGGCCGAAAGTTCTAGACTAAATGAAAGTTATGAAAAAGCGGTGTCTTCAAAAATTCTGTATATTTACGTACTGTTAAAAGGTATATCGAATTATTGCGTTATCAAAGTTGTGTGAACGTTAGTTGATATAATCTGATTTGTAATTAATTCTGTTGTAATTCTTTGTAATTGATGATTTTAAAATGCGTTAAAAATCTACAATGTACGCATTTATCCAGGAAAATTATTAGTCGATGTACGGTCGTTTATCGCTTTCAATGAATTTGGAAATAAATTTAAATCTCCGTATGACTGCATCCACATCTACGGGATTTTCATGATCCAATGTTGCATTCGAAATTTCAGAGATTGGCTTCCTCCGTTTGCATTGTATCCGGGGGCATCGAGTGGTCGAGTGGTCAAAAGCGCTGTCCGTTACGGATCACTGCCATCTCACCTCTGTCTGCGTTGGTTCGAGTCAAGGATTCGGCGAATGTGGATATGTGAGAAAGCTTGCCTGTAGCTTCTCGAGGGTAGGTCGTTCTTTCCGGGGATTTCCCGGTTTCTTCCTCCACCATTAATACTGGCCGCCATGAATAGCCTATCGTGTGCTGAAAAATGACGTTAAACCCAACAACAACAACAACATTGTATCCGTCTATGGTTTTAGAAACAGTATGGATCAGCTTCTAATCTTTGGATGATGATCTTTTCATGCTTTCTGTGACATCATTTTATTTTACGCAACGATATTTTCTACTTAGTAGTTGATATTACTTCGTTTTGCAATTAACATATGATGTATTTGCATTTACTTACTTTTTCCCCTCAAGTATTTCTCGTACCAGGCATATTTAATTTCTTCATTTTCTCATGTCTCCGTCATACTCTGCACATTCATTATCTTTCAAAAAACTCAGGTTTCATGTTCTTTCGTGCTACCATTTATGCGTTGATGGTTTATCATTTAGTGAATGGCACAATGTATTTTACAATTGTGTAATGATACATTATATCCTTTATATTTCAAAAATCCATTAACCTTTGGCTATGTCATTTGTTTGTAATACAGAGTTAACTCTCACGTTGAAAATCATCTGCACCTTTTCCTTTAAGTCTTCGAGGTTTTAAAGGACTGAATGCCAGTAGCTTCTCGTGTATCGGTTGTTCTTTCTGGTGATTTCCCGGTTTCTTCCTCCACCATTAATACTGGCCGCCATGAATAGCCAGCCTATCGTGTGCTGAAAAATGGCGTTAAGCCCAACAACAAAGGACTGAATCACTTAAAATCACATGCCTGATTAGAAATATTTTATCTGAAAAGTTTAACAAATATCTTCTTGAATTATTTTGTTTTGTTTAGAATTCCTGATTGTTTACCTAATTTGAATTTAGGTGTTTCTATTTAACAGTAATGAATGTTACTAAATCCCTCATTTATCTTTGGGAAAAGATAAAACCATTTTGTGGTTTCATTTTGATTGAAAACTTTCCAACTATAAATCTTGGTGGATCTATTTGTCTGGGTAAGTTCATAGTATTCAAGGTTTCATTTTTCGAACAAATTCTTAACGTTTTCATTGCAGATTTATTTTACCCCATGAACGGCTTTCTACATATCTGCTTTTTATGCCCAAGTGTATTTTAGCAAGATGCATTTGTATGCATTATTGTCTTGTTATGTTTGCAGGTTAACAATATCTGTCTGGCATCTTACTTCCTAGCCGACCGCTCCGGTGGCCTTGTGATTAGAGCGTCTGCCTCGGATGCAGAAGGTAATGGGTTTGAACCCCGACCGAGTTATAGCAAAGACTAAAAAAAATATACATACAGCTGCACTCTAGACGCTTAGCAGTAAGATGTTAGTATTAGGACTGGCTGGCATAGTGTCGGGATAATGTAACTGGGTGGGACATTAATCTGCGGCATGATACCCCAGTGCTATACATCACTATAAACTGACATCGTTGCGATAAGACTGAAAAATTGTTAAAGCTACTTTAAAAATCCAAATCTCTCTCTCTCTCTCTCTCTCTCTCTCTCTCTCTCTCTCTCTCTCTCTCTCTCTCTCTAACACACACACACACACACACACACACACACACACACACACACACATTCCATCACATCATTAGAAATTGTTGAATCTTATGTAATGTAGATTGGTGCCATTATTGACGATGTGTTAGAAACGTCAGGTAAATATTTGATAATTGTCTTTGTACGCTAATTGCTCTGTAATTAAAGTTGATGTATAAAAAGATGATACAAAAAGGCGTGATAGTTACTTTTTAATTATGATTTTTAAAGTTTCCCGATCCCTGAATATACAAACACAAAAATGATTGGTTCAGCTTCCTCTAAGTTATACAACTGCAACATTTTATGCCCACCAGAAGTTTTGAATAATTGATTTTAAATATAAAAATACGACCATCTGAAACCTAGCAAAGCAGTTGTAATGGAACGGTAAGTAAGAGTGGATTGAGTTGGATGTATTTTTTTTTTAAATCCAAACTCGCCTGAGCACATATCGTCCTACAGCTTGACCTCTAAATAGCCATTAGTACTGGGAATCAGAAAAATTTAAATATCCATTAAAGGCTTATAATTAGTAATAAATTATCATATTTATTTGTTTTCAGGTACTTTTATATTATTTGAGCTGAGGTAATTTTATATATTTATTTAGCATGAGGTAATTTTATATTTATTTAGCTTAGGTATTTTATATATTTATTTGGCTTGAGGTAGTTTTTGTATTTTAATACAGAAAATTTCATTTTTACATACATGATAATAATAAACTTTATGGTATTTTGTTACGTCTAACGTTTGATGGCTCAGTTTGTCGTCTGCCATGTTATTGGCGCCTAGGTAGTTCACAAGTTCACACGTTTATTGAATCAATTACATATATATCGTTGAAATGTCGCAACATGATATATGCATTGTACAAGGAAATCTACTCGTCATATCTACATACATAACTCTCTCTCTCTCTCTCTCTCTCTCTCTCTCTCTCTCTCTCTCTCTCTCTCTCTCTCTCTCTCGTAAAAACGCAATTTCATAAATAACAACATGAACGCTGATGTACAAGAAGATGTAGAGACTAACGAAACATAATGCCGTACGTAATCAATAAAACGCTACTGTTAAAATTGCGTACATAAAAACAAATTTGCATACTTCGGTTTCTTTTTTGTGTCAGCGAATTAGTAAGACAATATTGATGTGCCATTTGATCGTCGAGTCCTCATAGTCGCGTCAAGAGATTGCCATAGGCATCTCGCGCTCTTAACGTACTGGGCACCATCTTGATCAGAGATGCAGTATAAATATCTCTTCAGGTCAAAGGTCAATGCTTGTAATATACAACGGTTTTATGACCGAATATCTCGTTTCTTAAAAAATGATAAGCTGCGAAAAAAATGTTTTTTTTTTTCTCCACTGCGGTTTCTGGAAAATGTCAGTTATTGCGGGCAAAGGTGTACATATCATGTTTATAATGTAATTTCATGTTAAGAAGTCAAATATACGATACAATGCGGACATTGTAAACTTAATACTATACAAATCAAAATATGGTAATTACGTACATGGCTTTCAGACATCATATTTTTTACACCACTTTCAGACGTCTCTGTTTGATTTGAACGAATATGGTCCCATAAAAGGCGGGGTGGGTGGTGGTGAACAGAAGGGGGCTTGTGAACTTCTTTCCAACCAGGAATATTTTTCTTTAACTCAACAAATATTATAGATAGATTTGTTGTTTTTACAAATCAAAGCAAGTGCATTTTTGTCAAATTATTAACAACACACCTCCATCAACCCAACTCCGCATAATATGAAATGGTTAATCCTTATAGTCAGAAAGCTCGTGATATATCTGTTGTTTTTGTTTGAAAAATGGACCTCTCTCTCTCTGTATATATGTATGTTTGTATATATATATATATATATATATATATATATATATATATATATATATATATATATATATATATATATATATATATAATTTGCAAACTTTGATCTGTGGAGTTAACACTAAAAGGGAAAGGAAAACTGCGATCCAAAGATGCCGTTTGTAGGTAAAAAAAAAATATCATGTATTGAGATAGAAGGTATATACGATTTAATACGAGTGCTCATTACAAATGCAATTTGTAATACCAATCCAATAAATTCCATCTTTTTCATGCCTTGTCGCGCACAAGATTTTTATTATTGTACGAGTTTGATAAATTTCATTTCATATGAGCGCAGTTGTAACGCTGTAGTTATTGCATGAGGACAACCACTGATTTGTTATGAAGCTATTACAGAATAGTGAATTGAATCGACATTTGAAATTAGATTAATATCATATAGTGTCATTGCCTTGCGTGGCAAGAATGTGATGTAACGAGCTATTATTATAGATGTTATGTAATAAAATATTATATGGCTATAATAACCTAAGTAACATAGTAGTCCTGTAGTATAATACATTTTAAATTCTTCAGCGCAAATGATCAAGAAATCTTCTTCAAGGATATAGTAAAGTTAACATATCGCAAAGCATGCTATTATGATGCATGTTGCTCTAATCATGTATTTTATAGCCATTAAATTTTCCAGTCAACACCAATGTTGTTGGAGGGTGCCATTTTTATCCTTGAAGAATATCCGAAATGAATTGTGTCTGGTAGATTAATTTATAGTTCTGATACCTGTTAATTTTTATAATATGTAAGTATATGTGTTTCTGTTTTGCGAAAATGCCAGATTATTAAGTACCAGCACAGAAATATTGTTTTGATTGCCCATGCTTTGAGGAAAACTTGAGTACGTAGGTATATACCACAATAATTAACAAGAAACAAAAATGCTTTCATGTGGGGGTATGTTTTGCTACTTATTTAAATCCATCACAGTAGTAAATAAGTTAAATATTGTTTTCCTTGGCATTTTTGGTGCGTTACTTTTTATACAAGGTGACAATACCCTAGAAAAACAAGTGGTTAATCAGCTAGTAAAACCATTCGATTATCATTGATTTTTTAAAGACCGTTTTGTTCTGTTGTTCGATCATTCAGTCCTATAACATCGTAGGCGATATACGTCTGCATGTATTATATGTATCTTGCTAAAGGTGAATAAACTATATGAACAAAGTATTTTCTTTCGATAATGCCTGAGAATCAATATTAGATCAATCTATGTTCTCGTGGGTCGGTGGTTCTTTCCGCGGATTTCTCGGTTTCTTCCTCCTCCATTAATACTGGCTGCCATTCTCGGTTTCTTCCTCCTCCATTAATACTGGCTGCCATGTATAGCATATCGTGTGCTAAAAAATGGCGTTAATGCCCCCAGAACAACAACAACAACAACAGATCAATCTATATATGTATGTGGTTCATCGTCGGTGAACAAGCTGCTAAGCATGGTTGAAGGGAGGTAATGTAAATCCAACGCGTCTAAGGGAAACAACTACAATATTGAGTTAGACGCGAGTAACTGCGACGTGTTCATCTTGTCAAACGAAAACTTATTCGCATTTTATCCCGTTTTTTCTTAACTACACACTATAAGGATCGAAAGGAGAAGTTATTATCCAATTTTCATGCCAAGAGGTAAAATATTATGTAACACTTTTGCATGAAAATGAAAGGAAAATGAACTTAACTTGCTAATAATGGTGGTGGGTGTTTTTATAAGTAGTTTGACTTCATTATCCACCTACGAAACAACTTTGTTATTATGACGAAAAAGTTCTTAGATGCCAAAAAAAAAAAAGGAAGACTAAAAAAGAATGGGCATTAAAAACGAAAATGAAGCAAATTATGTAAATAACCAAACACCGACGTGTTGCTTGTCTTACGACCTTTTTCTTTTAATAAATATTGTTTACTAAGAAACATAACATGTCAAGTAACACCTGCTTGTATTTTTGGGAAAGTAATTACTTGGATAAACAAAGCTCAGTATGACTACGCCACCTTTGGTGTGAAGTGTATGAGAAAAACTGATGACATATATCTATGTTGGATTGGTAAAAGGCTGTCTTGTTCTTGAAAAGAACTTGTCAGTGTTTTTCCCCAAAGCATTTCATACACTTACACTTACAAAGAAAGAAATAGTTGGTGGACTTAAAATGGTAAGATATAATCACTATACACATGTGTAAACACATGATCACAACCACACTGACTTGCAGTAAAAATATACATCAAGTTTTTGTTTGTAAAATCCATTCGATGGCAAAATATAGACTTAATCATGTGCAGTATGTAATGCTATGGTAGGGTGTTTGAACTTAATTAAAGTGTCATTTTTTTTCATCTTTGCAATCATTAGAGACTGGTTGGTACTATTGTTTAAGCATCCCTGCTGACATATGAGCAAATCCTGGTCAGAACTGAGTTATTCTTGACATACAGTATGCTAGCATTGTCAGAATTGCACTTTGATGTTGATATAATCTGGTCTATATAGAAAAATTAATATGCATAACATTTGGGACTGACCATTTTATTGGGGGGATGGAGGTGGGAACAATATATTTTCAGGTTTAATGGGGGCTTTACAGGTAACATAGCACTAATAAAAGCCTCTGTCCAGTATGAGTATTACTTCTTTATTGACACAAATCAGGTGATTATCCATCACTCAATCCAGTCCTGGATAAAATTATCCTGAAAGGCATAGATCAATAAATAGTTGGTATTTATACAAGATTAACCCTTTCGTCACTAAGTAACTTTGTAGGCATAGAGTCCTCAACACTAAGTAACTTTGGAGTTGTAAAGCAAAATGACTT